ACGTGTGCTGTCTCCTGTATGGTGTGCTGTGTTTTATGTTAGTGAGTGTAGGGGGGAATGGGTAGTGGGGAGAGAACAGAAACGTAACTCTACGTAGATTTCGTAAGTACATTAAGTAAGTACAAATAACAATATACACACATAAGAAAATATTACGTACATAAAATAATAATACGAATATTTGTATATTACAGATAACACCTGTAAAGTGTGAAAACAAGAACTAGCCGCTCCAGCACTTAGACATAGGGCGAGTAACCCTAAGAATTTTAAATTTTAAATTTAAAATTTAGGGAAAATTTTAAAAGGTTTTAAAAACATCATAACTAAACATTTTTAGAGTGCTATTACAAGAATATCAAATTTGACGTGTGCAACACAATATCTACATACCAGACACATATCAACGATGTAGATGTTGATAATACGAAGAATGTGACATTGTGTTTTTAAATGTTAAATTTTAGACTGGGTTCAGTGTGGCAGCAACGTTAAGAGTATACACCTGATGATGGCCGATAGAGGCCAAAACATGTAGTGTAGAACGAACAAGATCAAAGACATATAATATATATTGTTTGCACTTAGGACGGAGTTTGTATCATTTATCGTGTAGAGTGCAACAGGATGCTTAAATATAATAAAGTAAAATAGAATAAAAATGTCACTGTACAGGGAAATTTTATGCTTGCATGAACTGTTATCAATTACATATAAAGACAAAACTAACTCTTTGTTCAATCTCTGATTTGACACTTAATTTCACACTCTACAGTAACAACCATCTGTATACTCCACATTAAGAAATCACAATGCTATGACACATAATTTCTATGCCCTTACGTGACATGAGCACCATGACTGGCTGTTTAATTAGCATAATTATGCATTAATGGGGGCATGTGGTAGCAGTTGGTTGAGGCACTATGCTACAAGCTGAAAGGTCGCAGGTTCAGTTCCCATTGAGGCCAATGGATTTTTCAATTGACCTAATCCTTCCAGCCACACTATGGCCCTGGGGTCGACTCAAGTCTCTAACAGAAATGACTACCACAGATCTTCCTGGAGGTATGTCTACAGAATTTGGGAGTCTTGATGTCCCACAAACCTATGGGCCTCTAAGGCCTGTTACAGGAATAGCTTTACTTTTTTTAGCTGTATTAATGAAGTGCAATTTATTTCATAACAGATATTGAAAATGATGTTCACACAAGTTATCATGTTACACTTTTCTAACTAATGACTTACAAGTTTTTAATCCTACAAAATGAGGTTCCCCATATGACAATAACAGTATTACATTTGTAAAGTTTAAAGACATATTAACATGCACAAAAGCGACACAGTTACAGTTTCATCATGATTGAAACAAAAGCAATGTTAATAAAAGTACCGAAGTTGCACTATTAAAAGTCACCATCACAATATGGGAAAGATAGAAAAAAGTCACAACTGCTGCTGTGACTCTCACACTTTGAGAAGGCAGTTACGGTCAAACTCCATATTGTATCACCATCCATTTCCAAATGTGCAAGTCTCCCAGTCAGCCCCACAATATACAGTTATCTTAAACAGATCTGTTTGAAATCAGTCTTCGAACAGGAGAGCCAGGAAACCAACTGATGTATCCAAAGAACCATCTCAGTTCCTCGCATAGAAAAATGGAGGGGGAGATGAGAAAATAGCGTAAGATGGATCTTAGGCGAGAAAACTGTGAGACTGATGTAACTGGCTCAGGATTGTTTCCATCTCCAGGCTCTGATATTAGGAGAACTGAGGCCACACCATAACTCAAGTGGTTAGTCACTGGCTTCCCACCGTGGCAGTCCAGGTCTGGTCAAGTGGGATCTGTTGTGGACAATGTGGCACTGGGGCAGTTTTTCTCTGAGTACTTCGGTTTCCCCTGCCAATCTTCATTCCACCAAATTCTCCATTATCATAATCACTGGGGACAGGCTACAATAAGCCAATCAGTGGCCACCGTGCCGAATGGACCCAGTTGGACTCCACCCCCAACTAAGCGAATTAATTAATTAATTAAGGAGAGCTGAACCTTTGCATTTCACTGCAGTACAAATGCTCTGTACAGAATGGAGGCCACATATATCTGCAGTGCTCTGCTGAAATGTTATACTGAGGATTCTCATTTAAACATACCTTAACAAACTTCTGAAGCATTAGATGAATGTACACATCTAAATCATTAAATCATTAAAAGGTTGTCATAGTGGTGACTATGTAGAATGTCATGTCTTCTAGGATATGATTCTTGGAGAAAAGTGGATGAACTTCTGTTGGGCCACATGGTGTGATGTACAAAAAAGACAGTACTCTTCCTCTGACATGAAGTTAAAGAAGCTAATGGTGCAACCATATTCAACTTCTTAATGTAGACCTGTTAGTGAGTATCATGACAAAAAACAGAATGTTACCTTCAGATGAGCATTAGAGTTCCACTGAAATACTATCAAGCACACATACATATTTTATGTTGACTAGTTCCATTGTTGGAGCATTTGTTGAAGATATTTGACTTGTTCTGTGTCCAGTGGTGTTGGCCTGTAATTGGATTTGCTTGAATGCAATAAATACTATACTATACTATACTATACAGGGAAAGGTAAATACATTATAATATAATAAGTGTACTGTAGTGCAAACAGGGGTCAGCAATGTACAGCCTACACTGTAGTTTTATCTGGCTCACCCCTGCCAGTAAAAGGATGTGAAAATATTCTTTTGGAGTTGAATCACTTTTCAGTTTCTGGTTGTCTCAGCTTTCACATTTAACAACTTTGGGGATGTGAGCATCATGTTCCATACTAAAGGTGAGGCAGAAGAAACAATATAGGTTTCAAAAACAATACACTTTTTTGTTTACTCAAGATTGGTACTTTAATTTGATGCCTTTGGATATTGTACTACACATAAACATGGAATCACTGTTTGCTCAATAATAACTTGTTCACATTCAGAATTAAAATTCCTGGATGAGTTCATTTCCATGGAGTTCTCACAGGAAGGGTTCCGAAGTCAGCAGATAATGTCCTGAGGTCTCATGATGTCATTTCCATCCCTTGAACGCCGATGCTACAAACCTTCCAAGGTGAATATTTATACTCCCATTAGTCAGCCAATAAGTAGCACACATTTTCATTGGAGAACAAATGGGCACTCTAGGGTTTACAACGTTTAAACTGCAGTCTCCAAAAACCTTACCTCTAAATGATGCATTAGAACGCTCAAAACGAAAAGCAAGGCTTGCTTTGTCACATTCAGGGATGTGGGTGTAACACTGGACTTGACTTACTGGTGATGTCCCCCGTCAACTCCAGAGTTTCTCAATTCCCAAGTTCATTCAAGGGGACAAGAAAGAGCTATGTGAGGTTTCCCAGCATTTTAACTAATGGGTCACTAGAAGTTCCCTTTGAAGGAAAATCAATGTTGCACCCACCTGGCCAAAAGGCTTCTGCAGTCCTATCTCCCTCAGATAATTTTCCATACTGATGATATCTATATTTCTGTAATGTCTGGTGTGCCTCGCCAAGCTTAGAACTGGGCTGGGCTTGTTTGGTTGCAAATGTTACAATATTTCTTCTTCCTCTTGCAGCCTTGCAATAGATTAGCATCCTTCACATCACTATTTGTCTTCAAGTGCAGTTTTTCCTGACAACTTATCACTACCATCATGACATATAACACCTTTCTGCTATAACTGATTTGAACAAGCACACCCTCCCTCCTGCTATAACAAACTCAACCAAGCGCATCTTCCCTCCCTCCCTCCCCACTGTCATAATGGATGAACTAATCCCGCACATCATGTGTTTCTGTGACAACTATGAGTACCAGCATGTGACTCATGAACCTCACAAAGATCAGAAACCAAACACAGACATAAATTGCTTTTGGGCATGAGAAGAATAATGTTTGCACAAAGCTGAGTTCATATTTCCTAAATGTGCTGTAGAAATAATTACAGTTCATCACTGAAATTCAGTCCAAGTTAAACACAAGAATGAATAAATCAGTACAAGTTGTTAGTAAGCAACAAATAAAAAACTTTGCTTAATTAATCCAACAGGTCTTTCAGTCCACTTTTAAGTGAGCTTTGATGGGTTAAATTATTTTCTTTAACATCTGTTGTGACCAAATATTGAGCTGTGCATTATTTTGTTTTTACATATTCACAGCTTCAAGAGCATGTGATACTTTACAGGTCAGTCTCTTTTCCACACAACTGGCTGTTATTACATTAGCAACATAAACAAGCAAAGAAAATGAAAGTCAATTTCAAGTGCCATGTCTTCAGCAAACAGTGGATTGTCTGTGCAGAACAAAGATAAATTTGTGTATTTTATCTGTACAGGCACTGTCTCCTTTTTGCAAGGAGTGTAACATTAACTGGCATTACGAGGAGCATTAAAAAGAAAAATATTATGATTTCCAAAGTCAGAATCAAGAAAGTTAAGAGTCTGCAGAGAGGAACATCAAGATTTGTAATCTGTTCAAGTGCATATTGTTTTGAGTTTATGGCTTTATAAGTTGTCTATATTTTAGTGCTGTTAAAATTAAACATTAAAAACCCAAACATCTATTTATGACATGTCATTGTGCAGTCAGAGACAAAAGTCCCATATTTAAAAGGTTTCATATATCTTGCTGAGGTATGCAGTAGCATAGTTGGTTGAGGCACTTATGCTACAAGCTGGAAGATCAGGGGATCGAATCCTGACGAGGTCAATTTTTTCAATTTACCTAATTCTTCCAGCCACACTATGGCCCTGGGGTCGACTCAGCCTCTCGCAAAAATGAGTACCAGGAATATTCCTGGGGGTAAAGGGTGGCCGGCGCATAAGGCTGACCTCACTGCCATCTGTGAGCCGATTGTATTGAAAATGTGGGAGCCTTGACCTCTCACAACCCTATGGGTCTCCACAGCCTGTTACATGGATACCTTTACATTTTTTACCATATACCTTACTACTAATTCAGGCTTACATTACTCACATGCTATTTTACTAATCTTTTTAATCTTTCAGATGTTTTGTAGAATTTTTTACAGTATCCTTAATAATGAATGGACAAATGGGATCACAATACATACAACTGATTGTGCTGCTTACAGTTAATTGTAAAATTTATATGAGCTACATGTATTTCACTTCCTGACAGTGTGGCCTACTTGCTGACCCTTGGTGTAGATAAACACTGTTGAGGATGCTGTATCATGCATCTTGACCTCTACAGCCGTAGGTGCACTTACCACTCAGACTGCCAGCCTGTGTTTCAGCTGTGTCTGTAGTCCCTGAGAGATCTGCAATGGTGTCGTGGGGTAGATCTTGATGGGCAGATTCCATACCATTGTCTCAATGTTCAACCTTGCTGGTCCCCCCCATATATTTCCATTTTCCAGGTCCCTTGCAGGCAGTTCATGTATAAGGTGTGTGTTGCTAGTCACAAACTCAAAGTGTAGCCTCCACCGTAGTGTAACTGCACATAAAACATGAATCTAGCCTCGTATACAATTTGAACTGTTGGAAACTTCATGATATTTGTTTGTCACTTGTATAAATGTTTATACTCTATAACTGCATCAAACTGTACATGGTTCATCTTTTTATAAAATAAAATTAATGCATTATGGGAAGTCACATCTGTTTGTCTATGGCCTAGTAATAGCGTCTAAATGTGGAACATATTTCTTCTTAATTCAGTATGGGAGACTTTCACTAAAAGCTGTCAGAAAATTAAGATTTTCAGCCATACTTGCCTGTAATAACTTTACTAAGACCATAAACATACAACTGGATAAATATCTTAAACTGTGAGGCAAATGTTATAGACAACCCACAAGTGAGCTTAACAAACTGCAAAGAACACTACTGGAAATTTTTTGTACTATATTACACAGTGTTATTACAATGGAGTATGCCATATCAGTAGTTCTAATATCCAAATTTATGATATTTGTGACAAAATGGATGCAAATTTCAAGTGTGCTGTGAACATTTAAAACATTGCCTAACTCCCCCACATTTCCATGGCATGCCATTCTGGTAGCCACATCTGTCAACAGTGGCAAAGCTCATGACTTGGGTTCCAGTGAAAATGCCTAGTGATGACTGTCACATTCATCTGCAGGCTTGCTTTTTACTGTTTACATACTGGTCCCTATAATGAACTCCTGGTATCCAAAATCTCATGCTGCTGTGTAAGATTTGAGGTTTTCATGGCACTGACTTCTTCCCAGAAGACAGCATTTCTCATGCTGCTGTTTCCCAGCCTTTCCAAATACAGGTTGCCCACTCTATTTATCAGAATAAGAACAGAACTTATGCATTCACAAATCTGTTCTTCACAGTGACCATAAAATGTGCTTTCTGAACACCTGTCATCATAGAAAGCTGGATGCCACTTCAGAAGACTATGCAGACATCATGTTGGCACTATTGCTGGTAAAAAAAAAGGTACTGCTATCCTTGCAACAGGCTGTGTAGGCCCAAAGAGTTGTAAGACATTGAGGCTCCCACATTTTCTAGAGTCAGCTCACAGATGGCAGTGAGATTAGTTACTATAGGATTCTGACGATGGTGTATAACACACTGATATATTGGGTTTTTGGACTTTATCCATCGTCCTTGTTTTTAAGATAACTAATAAACACTTGACATTTCGGAAACAGATCCAGTTTCCGAAACGTCGTGTTTTTATTAGTTATCTTAAAAACCAGGACGATGGATAAAGTCCAAAAACCCAATATATCAGCAGTGAGATTGTCAGCCTTATGCACCAGCCACACTTTATCACCAGGAAGATTCCTGGTACTTATTTCTGTTAGAGACTTAGCTGACCACAGGGTCATAGTGCAGATAGAAGGATTAGGTCAACTGAAAAATTCAATTGCCTCATTGGGAATCGAACCCGCGACCTTCCAGCTTGTATAGTGCCTCAAGCAACTATGCTACCACATTCTCCATCATTACTGGTGGTAGGGAATTAAAATCAGTGGGTTGGCTTCCTATGGCATAACTTTCATGAAAATTGGTCACTTAGTTCATTTAGTAGGGAATACACAAACAAACATGATCATTCCAAGAGTATATCTATCCTTAAATAAAGAAAAGAAATAGGCTAGAAGTGGAAAAACTTAAAAGGGAAAGGGCAAAGAATGCTCACCAAGATCAGTGGTGAAGCCAGGAGTTACATGCAGTGGAATGGGCAGGATGAGCTGTGAGTGCTTCAGACTTAAGCACACCTCATGGTACTTTGTGTATGAGACTACTGCAGAGCCCTGTTTTGACCAGGACCGGCAACCTGGTGCGATTTCCTCTTCACTCTGCAGTACCACTGAGAACTGACAACATAACAACACAAAACTTATCAACTGCACTGAATAATTGAATGGTGAATTGCCTTATTTCAATGTGCTATGCAAGACTTCTCCTGGAATGACTGAAGAAAGCCATGAAAACAGGAAATATGGTCAACAAATTAAAACCTTGTTATGTATAAAATGCAATGGAGGAGTGGTATCCATTGCACCATGACCTTCAGTCTTGCTAATACTGAGGTAGTGACTGTACTGACTGTAACACAATTTGTATCCACTGAAAATTAAACTTATCCCAATGTAATGCTTCACAAAAACAACTAAGCATCACAGAGAGAGACACTATGCAGCAGCCTGGTTAGCTTTATTTTGTTAGCAGCTTTACCTGCACACAGGGTACTGTTGCCTCAGAGAAGTCAAATGTCCCAACGATGTCTTCCCCAAGTTTGTAGGCCTGTTTGAACAGGCAGAATCGTACCACTTTCCCCTGGGATTTAGTGATGTTGTAAAAGTTTGGGCTCCGCTTTGATGTCAGGGTCTGTAAGGTATTCATTATAAAGGTTGCTGAAATACAGAATTCATTATAAAGGAATATAATTTTATGTTTTTCACTTTTATTTAAAATAATAACAAAAATGCTAAGGAATCATTACAACCCACCTCATCCATGCATATCCTTCAGCCAGTGCCTACACTTGTTCTCCTTCGCCCACAATGCAAAGACAACACAGAGGAATCCACATATGAGGTGGGGGTAAAACTTACAGTTTTTCAGAGGAAGAGAGAAAGCTTGCAGAAAAGTCAGGACTTGTTGCGATCAATTAATCTAAGTGAAACATTTCCAGTATGGACCCTCCTCACTTAGCATTAGGTAACCAACTTAAAGAGGCTGATATGGGATTGAAATGTAGAGAGGCATTCTAAGGTGTGGGGGGATCTCAGAGAAAGTGAAAAGGCTCGACTTCTATAATGATAACTCGCCCACCCATTTTATGAAAAGGAAATATCAAATTTTCTTTCACAATATATAGTTCCTCTCCTTTGCTTTCTCAAAACAGCTATTATTGTTTATGGATTCAAAATTTTCATTGCCATTCCAGGCACCAAGATTATTCACTTAACTATGTGCCACTTATGTTGCAGTCTCCAAACAGCCAAACACAATTTTCTGAAGTGATATGTGTTCTATGGATTGTTGTAAAAAATCTCATACAACTATATAATTCTTCCCTGAGGCTTGAAATTTCATAAAAATTGGAATGCCATTCTTAGTAATTGCTGCTCATAGAGATTGGCACTGAAAGGGTTAAACTGCATATTACATCACTTTCAGAAAAAAAAATATTAGTAAATGTTTTAAAATTAAATTATCACTAGACTTAATTCTTACATAACTTTTATATTACAGCCTGCACTACCTAATCTGCCATTCAATGCCAGACCACCTGTGTTCCAGCATGAGTTAAGTCTGTTTGTTCTATGAACCCAAAATATGGCATCAAAGAGACCAGCAAGTAGAAGTGCTGTTGGTACACCTCACCTTGTTCCTTATAACAACACTAATACATTACATTATGAAGGCATACTCAGGATTTTGGCAGAGCAACTTAGGGTTGAGAAAATTCTTTGGTCCAGCTCCAATCTGGTCCCAAAAGTTCCAGATCTGAAAGCTCCAACCTGTATAATGAGTGAGTGTGTATTATGAGACCCTTGTTTCAATGTAAGAAGTGAAGCAATTACAAGAGCATAGAAGTTATGTTCTGGGTTCAACAGTCAGTAATACAGCTAACTGCTGCAGTCTAAATACAGTATTCCTTGATCAGGTTACAGTTATTTAACTGTTAGACAAATTCTGTTCTTAAGAAACCTGAAGGTTCATTACATTGGTCACAAAATTCTAAAACTGGATCACATTGTGACATGTGAGCTGACAGACCAGAACAGCAGAGCCAGAAGAGATGGCCAATGCTAGGCAACACACAATAAACATATGTCCATGGCAATGGATATGCACACAATGATATAAGAACTGTTGGGAGCAGTGTTTTCTATGTGGTCTGTGCTGAGGCTACATAGCAAGTGCTATCGAGTGACAACAATGAAAGAACTGTTGGGAGCAGTGTTTTTTATGTGGTGTGTGCTGAGGCTACATAACAAGCGCTATCGAGTGCCATTGTAGCAGAAGCTATTACAAATAGGTCATAATCTGCTGTACTAAGCCTGGACTGACAAGAGGCCCTGTATATATTTTATATAAATTTATTAACATATTCAACATGTAAAATGTAAATATCCTTCATATTATGACAAATGACTTACTACTGCAGACAGTGACTCTGACAGAAGAGTACAGAAGCTGAGGAATCTACACTGCCGAGCACCATTATGAGGTAAAGACTAGTGAAGACACAGAAGAATTCATGTGCGCTGGAGTATAGTGATTTGTAGAGTGCTTAGATTAGCGAAACTGTTATAGTTACTTGTAGCTACGAGTTATAAGCCTTCAAGAAATCCAAATCCCATGCCTAGTCACACACATGTGAAAATATCATAACCCAGTTCAGGCCAGTTCACATTATCACAGTCTGCTTCCATTTTCATATCATTCTCCCATCAATATATTTGTCTCCAAAGTGATCTCTTCCTTTAATTTTTCTACAAAACTGTATAATAAATTCTTGTTTCCCCCACACAAGCCACAAGTTCCTATGACCCTAATGATATTAAATGAGAATAAAATCTAAAAAAGGTAAAAGATAAAGCTATCCCTGTAAGAGGCCATGGAGGCCCATAGGGTTGTGAGAAACTGAGGCTCCCACATTTTCTAGACAACTGGCTCACAGATGGCGTTGTCAGCCATACACACCAGCCACCACTTACCAACCAGAAAGATTCCTGGTAGTCATTTCTGTTAGAGTTCGAGTCATCCTCAGGGCCAGAGTACGGCTGGAGGGATTACGTCAATTGAAAAATCCAATGGCCTTATTGAGAATTGAACCCACAAATTTCCAGCTTGTAGCTACTGTGTGCCCCCGAGAATAAAAGCTAACACTCCATTAGTTTGCTTTTCTTCAGACTGGTCTGTACCATGTGCACTCACCTGGACAGCCTGCATGGCAAGATCAAACAGTGTTTCCTTCTGCTGAATCTGAAGGAATGGATTGCTCGGGGCAAGTTCTTCACTGTCGCCACAGAGTGAGGCCTCTTGAAAGCCTGCAGCAAAAGTACACTGGATTAAATGCTGACTATTTTCATAATTTACATGAAAAATTAAGTATCATCCAAGCCTGCAGCCAAATCTCTCTTGCTATTATTTCAGCCTAGCTATGAGGATATTATATATCATCCCTTTCACAGTGTTCACATTCATACTGTCGCTAAATGGGATTCCAGCATACTTGAAAGCAGTGTCAGAGGAACAGGACAGGGCAACAGACTGTTCTGTGGAAATAACCAAATAAGAAGCACAGGTAGAAAGTCTTGGGGTGACATCTTGCGACTATACCATATACCAGAATGTGGCTATGTTCAAAGTTAACTTCAAAAGCTCCTCTGCAGAACATACAGACCATTAACAACCAGCACCCTGAGTGGCACCCGCAGCAGCTTGATGGGGGAGTTCACTCTCTGCATGCCAATTGTGATCTTATATGAGTACTTGACAGCCTGGCCCCGGTATGATGGGGGAGCCTCACTGGGTAGCATTTCACTGTATAGATCTGCAACACACAACATCAGTCATGCCTCATTATCTCACCTATCAGGAGGGGGGCATATACCCACATATTTTGATGTTTTACTTTGAAATACAAACTGAGAAAATTCTGGATACAACTTGTAACTGTTAACAATTTCTTAATGCCTCTAGGCAGATACTTCTATTCAGCATTTACTTAAACCTCAGAATCATGGAGATGATGTTCAGCCAATAAGAAATCACGAGACACTGGACTAATGCTGTTTGGAGTGCTGGGTGCTGATGATATGCCTGTTATCACAGATAAATTTCACTGGCATTTTTAGATGAATGACATCTGGTAAAATATGACTTAAATGTCAGATACAATGTGTGCTACTCACAGGACTTGCTCTCCCCTGCAGACAGTCGCAGGTCACAGAACAAAATTCTTGGCTTTGTGGACAGCACAACATGGCCTCTCTCACCTCTACATGGAGCAAATGATGTATCTGTGAGGCAAAACATGCTAAACTAGAAAGGGCACAGTAACACAAACTGTGTGCTCTCTTCTTCATGTATCAGAGCGTCCCAACTGGATGGTGAAGAAATGTCTCCAAAATGGGAGTGAAATTAGATTATGTTAAATGGAAACAAGTGGTAACACTGTCAACTGGATTCATCTACCTTAGGAAGGAGTCCACTGGTGAATACTAAGTTAGAAAAAAAAACTTTCTGACTTTAGCTCATCCTCCTATCCAATGGAAGCACTTTTTTTAGGGTATAATGGCTGGACCATGAAGACCATTACTCACATCTACCTAACGTGAAAATCAATAATGTGTGGAGTTCTACCTTCACTTTCCCACACATCTTCATCGTGTGGCATTTCTGTACTGTAAATCAATTTCTTAGTCAGTTGGCCAGTCTGACAGACCAACTGATCTGGCTCAGGATCTCAACCAGTAGAGGGCTCTTATAAACATGGTACTGAACCATCGGGTTCCACAAAATGCAGAAAAATTCTTGACCAGATGCACAACTGACAGCTTCTCAAGAAGAGCCCAGGCGGCTTCTCAAGAAGAGCCCACCCCCACACACATACACACACATTACAATCCATAAATGGAAAGTTTAGTTATTTAGATGCTATAACCATTCAATAACTTCAATATTCAAATGAAACCCTGTGTTTTGTCAACAATGTGTGACAGTACATTTTGGTGTTAGTTTAAACTGTGCCTTTACATTCATAAAAATTTTCAGGCTAGTTGGTAGGCTGTTGAAAAGCTGATGCCAGAATAGTGTGCCAAGGTAAAGACGAAGTTGCCCTGTGTCAAATTAATTAAACATAACACCATGAGGATGTATGGGGGAGTGGAAGTATAGCTCCACATTCATGACCTTGGCACTGGGTCAAGGTTGAGTGGTCAGCTTCACACCCTGGTCCTTTCACTCTTGAGGAAACAGCCACTAGTATGCACAGGACAGGAGGCTGGGCAGGCCTCAGAGCCACTCTGGATGCTGTGGAGAAGGGAAAGATCTCTTGATCCTTCCCAGGGATTGTACCACAGCTATCCAGCCCATAGTCCCTCCTCATACCAAGTGAGCGATCCTGGCGCCATTGCATGCACTTTTCTCAGAACATGAGAAGTTGGCAACTGGTCTATGAGGATGGTGCTTGTTCCTCATATTAACACTGCATATAGATGAATTAGTCTGAAAATGTTTTCAGTTATTTACAATGAAGTTCATTACTGAGAACACGTATCTACATGGGGAAGAGGTAAGATTTCTAATTATTTAAATAGACCTCTGTTGAATATCTAATTTTGACACCAGCCATGATTCCAGTATTTGTTTTGTTACCAAAATATCTTTTTGTTGATAGATAATTACCCCAGGAAAATATTCCATATTTCATTATAGAATGAAAATGGCACACAGATTAATTTGAGAGTGTAAATATTGCTGATATATAACACAAATCAAGCCACATAACATGTGCCACCTAATGTAGGAGGAAGCAGCACACCCAGTACATTTTGGTTTACTGGTTAGTTAATAAGTTATGAGTACAGCAGGTGCATACCAGTGTTGGCAGTTGAAAGTTCCTCTGCTGTGAACAAGTTCTCATCTGGATACGTGACTTTGCTGTTTGTGGTGCACTGGCAGTGAATCTGTGCACTTGCCCATGCAAGGCTCTCAAATGCATCACTGTAACACAGGTGCTTCTAAATAGAACATTTTGCTTCTCACAAAATAACACCCAGTCACATTATGTTCTATCTGCATTGAGTACAATACATGTAGGTTATCCAGTAAGTAAAGCTCATTTGATGATTAAAAAAAATGACATTAAACAATTTTATTTGACATCATTACTATAGACATGAAAGTATTTTTCTACATAATACCCACGAAAACTCAGGCACTTGTTACATCATGTGACGAGTTTCTGTATGCCTGCAGCGTAGAAAATCTGCTGCCAGTCTTTAACTGTCTTTTCCACTTCATTATCACTATCCATGCACTGCTATATGCAAACGGTCTTTACTTTCTGAATGACTCTCATAACATGCCTCAAAGACAAAGCTATATTAACATTTTCTGCTGCATTACAGTACAGCAACATCATGTAAAGTAATTCTTTATACAAGTATAAGATGGATGCATTTATGTTAGAGCTACTAATCTTAAAAAATAACCAGTTATTGTGAGAAGTTACAAGTGTCTAGATCAGTTTGTCAGTCCTCATGACAGCAGATGTAACAGCTCTGTGTGGTCAATATTGTGCCAGCTGATAACTATCATTCTGGAACACAGTACTCAGTGATGACCTTTGTGCCACAATTAATCATACTGCACATACTATGCTCACCCCTCCCCCTCCTGCATGAAAACAACTGCAAAATACCCGACACTTCAGTCTGTCATTGAACTTGTGTTTTATACATGTGGCATAAGTTGAAAAAGTATGCCCAGTGAATCTTCTTAACCCATATGAAAGGTAAAAGTTACGTCTGTATTTAACTGATTAAGCACTGTGCCATGAAGATGTATGTGGGGAGTGGATTTATAGATCCACATTTTCCTGACCTTCACACTTGATGGAGGTGAGTAGTTAGCTTCACGCCCCGACTGCTTTAGCCCCGGTAAAGGGCCCCCAGTACCCACTGGACAGGAGTTTGGGTGGGCCTCAAAGCCAGTCTGAACATGCCATCCAATAAAAGAATATTTCCTGGTGACTTTCTGCAGTCAGCTTCAGTTCGTCGCATCATACCTCACAGTACGATGCACTGCTTACTGTTGTACCTCTTCCCTGATGTTTGTTCAAACCATGCAAGCTGGCTTCAGCGGCAATGTTTCTGACTTGTATTCAAGGGGTGAATGGTTCAAATTTTATCCACAATATTGCCTATCCAGACTCAGGTTTTCCAAGGTTTCTCTTGGCTCCTCCATGCAAATGCCATGATAGTACCTCAAACTGGCCAAGACCACTTCCTTCCAGATCTTTTCAAATTCATTATTCACTACACATCCCCCACACTCCATGCTATATAGACACACACACTGACAATGTCATTAAGTAAACTGTAAGTAAATGAACAAATGAAATGACATTGTTGAAGAACCAGTCTTTGCAAATCCCACAAAATTTTAGTATTACTCTCCAAGCTGCTTCTTTTTGTAGGTGTCAAAACTATACAGGGATTGATGGCAGGATTCCATATGAATAATGAAGAACTGGAGAAGATTTATATGGAAGCTGTTGGGGCCCAAACAAAGTACCATCCCAGCATCTACCCAGAGGGACTGAAGAAAATCATGAAAAACTTCAGTCAGCAAGTGCGTCAACTGAGAACTGAATTCAGCACCTCACAAATCTACAAATACAAGCCTACAGCATTACCTCTAGACCAACATGTTCAGTTCCTTTCTGTCAATAGGGACCTGAACTTCTTTTTGGTAGTGTACTATGTCACATGTAACCTTTCCAAGCCTGGAGATTTGATCACAGTTTGAAGTGATGGATCCATGTTCATCATCTGTGACAATACGACTGATAATGTGATCACCTTCCTCATGATACTGGTCCAAAATGCAATTACGGATGTCCAAACAGTAATGTATCTCGTTGCTTGGTGTTTTTTTTTTTGAGAATGCACCTTTGCACAAACCTTTATGGAAGCGAAACCCATCACAGAGAGTTTGATAGACCGAGCCACAACTAATTTGCATGTCGCTCAATACTTCAGTGATAGTCACTACCCTGCTGTCAGGACTGGTGCACTGTTCCCTTCTGTGAGTGATGTGCAGGGGCACCCATGTCAATCTGCACTTGTTCAGCTGTTTCAAAACATTTCAATCCCCATACCAGTACACAAGGTCTACTGCACCAGAACATTCACCATACTGTGTTGAGAGTTTCTGGTGAATTTTAGCATTTGTCACACCTTCAGACCACAGCAATCAAATATGTGCACACTGCTGATCTTTTATGTGTATAGTCAGTAAATTGCAATTATAAAAAGACAAGTCCATCCAATGTGACTATTTCAGTTTTCTCACTTGATGATTCACTAGCCGTACATGTTTTGATCCATTTGGATCATCTTCAGAGGCATCAAACACTTTTTAGTAAATTGCCCTGCTAACTATTGATTAAGCAAAATAACTATAAACAGTCTGGGTCATGTCACTACAGTGGGGAAGTTCTGTGCTTCCAGTTGCATGTGCATTTGGAAGCAGACCAACTGCAAGCAATAAACAATTTCAAAATAATTTTTTATTCTTTTTATATTTGTTCTCCTAATACATGCGGTCTCCCATCGTAAAACCACACCATTTTCACTGTACCGTTTATATTATCATAATGCAGCACTCTCAACTACAACAGAACTGATACATATCTGCACATAAAGGTTTTTGTCAGCATGTTCACGATCATTAATTGAATACTGCCAAACAAATTTATCAATCCAGACACTGTGTTATAACTGTATTTGTTAAAAAAAACTACTGAATTTTAACAGCTTAGTCAGCTTCAGTCAACCTTAATCTGAATGATTTTCATCACAATCTCTGATTGAGGCATCAGTAGTATGTCTGCATCCACGGTCTGCCAGTGTCTATAACAACATGACACCTAGATCCATTTCTTGTACTCCTCCTTATTAATACTTTAGTGACACCAACTTGCACATAACCTCACATGCAGAGGTAGAGATGAGGACCTACAGATGTCCTTTTAACAGTGTCAACAAACCTCACAATTCATAATGCTAACAAGGAAACCTATTGAACACAGCCGTACAATTCTATTGAAAATGGAATGAGAAAGACACTAACCAGAGCTGTTCAATGGTACCGTCCTGGATGAACTGTTTAAAATATGATGGAAGTATTCCTCCGTCAAACTACAAAAACGAAACTTACACGAGACATACGTTTGTTGCAAGACGCTTCTTCATAACCTACCTGTTACTCTGTGATCTTTTATGGACAGGTGCTGGGGTATTTGAAAACGTAATGTAGCATTCAACTGATTCGCCCGTCAAATATACTGGACCTCGCACTACTTTTGCTGTAACCTCTATCATCGTTTCATTTCTTACTTTTCCTGAAGCATCTTATTTTGTTGTTTAAATTGCTCTGGCGAAATTAGTGGTGTTTGCCCAAATCAATCCTGCTTTTGTAATTTTATTTAGTGGGCGTTCTTTTTTTTTTCCCCTTCTTTAATTATTCTCCAGTTCTAAACAGTGCACATAACTCGTGTCAATACGTACCGATCCTACCGATAGCTACTATGACTATTATTACAACAGATGACAGACGAACACCGACAACACACCCACTCACACTCCTCACACTACTGCCCCTACTGCCTATCGCTGCCTAATACAGATTACCACGTTCGACCACGTTTACCATCGCCCGCTACCGCCTGCTACTACCCACGTTGACCGGACGATGACGTTTGTACAAAGTGGTATGAGTTAGGAACGGATACTATTGGATTCGTCGTTGATGCCTGCAATGACCAAACGCTCCCTTGGCAATCACTAACACCCCATGATGTAAGATACATGTATAAAGATGTACGATGTATAAAGGAGCCGTGCAAATATGGTATTGATAAAATCAGGCTGTATAGCAGCGGTATTCAACCTTTTGTTCGCGTACGCCCAGATATATTTTCTCCGTACCACAAAAGTTTTTTACATTTACGAATTTTAAATTTTACGTACTCCGTAAGGTTTTCGCGTACCCCAGGTTGATAACCATTTGTGTACAGGATTAAACCTCTGGATATGTATGATCCGTGACAGAATGGCATTCACGGTTGATGAAAGTATGAGTTCAGAAACTGGACGTGGCTTCGTTTTCAGGTGAAAGGTTGGGAGATAGTTACCGGTAGCTCTGTGTTGGACTAGTAGAGAGAAATAGTCAAGGTACTGATCGGTGCCATCACAAGAGCTGCAGCTAGGCACTGATTTCACAGGTTTAACTGCAGCGCCTTTGTAGTAAGATGTGGTCAGCAGCGGTTAGTTACAAAAAAAAACTATAAAATATATACCACTTTAAACTTCTGAATCTGTTGACCAGTTTTTAGAAAACTTGATATTAACATCATGGATTGTAGGCTAACCCCAACACTGTACTTAATAATTCCAGACAATCAGCAATAGAAAATGACAGAAAAGAAAACCTGTGAGGTGGGAGTGACATTAGTGCCACTTCATTTGGGGTTCTGAAATAATACATACTAACAATTTTTTAAAAATATGGAAAACTTGAATTAAGGCTTCTTCTGGGATGTGACACCATGAAGATGCTGTGTAAACTGACATTTTTGAGGCACATCAGTTTACACAATATCTACACGGCTCCACATCCTAGAAGACAGCATTGTTCGTAGTCACCATCATGAAAACCTCAAATGGAGAACTTGTTATGGTAATATAACATGCAGGCCTTGTGAAAAGATCTTGAGCTTTTGGTTTGACGACAATAAATAATGAATCACTGCAGCTAAGCAAACAAAGTTTGGTATGGATGTATTAAAACACCTACACAATATGCATGAACAGAAAACTCTGAAATTATATTTGACACTTTAATATAATCTGCACTTACGTTTTTTCTCACAAAAATAAAATAAAATGATAATTATAAAGACAAAGAAGAGTAACTGATCTACATATCTCAGAATCTATGAGAGGGGGAGCAGTCATTTTTTAAAACAAATCATCTGCCTACTGGAAGTAAACCAGGAGCATACATATGGAGGAAAGAATAATTACAGTCAAATGTATGCCATGATCGATATCTAAAGTGTCTGCTGGAAGAAGGAAGATTTAGAAAGCATAATCCATGTCACAAATAGACATATTTGCAACAACAATACCCAGAAAATTGTACCCGTCATTGTTATTGCTGTGAGAACCCCAAAACCAACAGTAGTACATTCATTTGTGTGCGCTGGAAACAGTCATATGGCTCAAACAGTTTTCAATGTAAGCAGGTACACCATATTTAATAAGAGATCAATATCATTTAAAATCCGTTTTCTAAAAAGCATATCATATAGGCAAAAATGATACTATATGATTACAGCCTTCCCATGAAATAGTGAGATTCAGAAGTCTTTGAACTTGCATGCCTACTTCTCTCCTTGTCAGTTTATCACTTCAAGAAAAAGAAAAAAACTGGTCTACATTTTTGGTCTGGCACAGAATGTTCTTTTCAGAAAGTTTAAAAACATAATCACAAGTTTATTGTGTCTGGCAGATGGTTCTTAGTTCACATCTTATCGCATGAAGCTCTACATTCTCAGGCAAGTTTCAGCGTGCATCTTCAGCTCGTGGACAGACAATAACAAGACATGTACCCTGATGTCCGGCACAATCATACTAACACGCACAAAAGTTTGTCAAAAAAGGCAGATTACAGGTAGTTTCATCTGTCACTGATCATGAAAATGCCGTAATATGATGATGATAATGTGCTGGTGGTGGTCATAGCAGCAGCAGCAACTGCCCCATGCTACATCTCAGCATGGAGCCTAAGGTTACTGTCAGGGAGCTTCATGTGAGATTCAAGATGAAGTGACATTGGAGTAGGTGCTCTTGTGAGTTTCTTCATTTTTTCCTTCACAGTCATCATTCTTCCATTGCTCAACATCCATTTATTAGCGTTCCTTAAATGTGCAGTATCCCTGACCAGGCAGTACATTATCACATCCATGGTCTTTAAAATTGCAGCTTAATCCCTGAGCCAGCATTTTGGCACACACAAAGCTAGGAAGTTTCTTTAACAAAAACAAATCTAAAAGCAGCAGTAAAAACATTTCTGTAATTCTTATCTGCTACATATTTTCACCATAAAAAGCAGCATAAAATTACCTCAAAGAATATGTTCACAGAATTTCACAAGAGCCAGGGATGTGTAATGCCTGCATAGCAGCAACAGAATATGGAAAGGACTACAATTCAAATTTTGATTCTTTTTAGAGATATTTTAAAAAACGCTTTTTTTTTTAATTTCCAAAAATTTGGCCTTACTCACTTGTGGACTTAGTATATGAAAGACAAATTCGATTCTTTTTACAATATCACTTCTGAAAGTTACTGAAGTTCCATAATTTCTTCAATTACACCATTATGAGTATTATAAAATTGCATGTGCAGACATTAAAGTTGAGAATAAAGACAGAATTCTTTTCATAATTTGACCTGAAAGAGAAAGAGGTTTAAAAAATGTGAACTGGTTCAGGATCTGGTTTTCATTATCTCAATGAGCCAAACAATTACCAAGTGGGCGAATTACACTGTCAGCAGGATAGGATGTATCCAGAAATGAGTAGTGTTGTCGGAAATGTGTATTGCAAAGTTCAACAACAACAAACATGAACTGGAGCCCTTGTAACCACATGCACACAAAAACAGAACACAGAATCTCCTACACAAACAAGACATCAAGATGTTAACTAGAGGAGCCTCGTTCTTTTTACAAAATACATTAAGGTCTAAAAAATAAAGATTGCTGTACACTTTCCCAGAGATGGGGCACTGAAACATACTTAAATGCAACACATGTTATGTGCCCTGGAAGGCCAGTCACATCTCATTCCATTGTGTTCTAGGCACACTGTGAAGGCGGCGCCCAACATCTCACTAGGAACTCAGCTTCTTGCCTTTCACAACTGTTGGCTTATTCCTGATTGTTCCCTTCTTGCGTTTGTTGGTCTGCAACAAAGCACACATCTGTAATGTAACTGATCATTACCTACTGACATCATTCTTAAATATTACCAATTATAATAAAAATTTTAATTTTATTAATACTTTAGGACCTAATACCAGTTTTGTACCAAAGGTGACTTATACTCAGTTTTGCAGTAACTATTCTGAGAATTGGTAGCAAGGAATGTTTAGATAAGGACTACTGCAACTCAAGACAATTCCATGATAGCCAGCCTGCTATGTGCATCAGTTACTCCTCCCATCAGCCTAACTAAAGAAACTTCCAGAACATTCTCAAACTGCAGAACGGTGTGGAAGCTTGAAGGAAGATCTCGATGCGGAAGGTTCTGGAATTATTATGTCATTTGAGAGTATTTAAAGGCATTGTAATAACCAGGGCCCAGATTCTGATGGCCTGAAAATATTTAAAATATGACCCAAAAAATCCAGAAAAATTACCTAAAATATGACCAAAAAAAAAATCCAGAAAAATGACCTAAAGGAGAAAAGAAAGAACACTTTGCTTCCATGTTATTCACATTTCAGAAAACATATGAAGAAAAATTCCCTAAAATGGCCAAAAATGACAAGAAATACCCTTAAAAGTCCAAAAAATGACCTATAAATTTACATTTCTGTAACCAGCAGCTCATATCCAAGATTTATATATTTAAGAGCATCGCACAGGATACAAGGAAAAAAGACGACATGTCATCAAAATCCGGGCCCTGGTAATAACCGTGGTCATTGTATTCAGTGTATTCATTGCATTGCTGGGTGTTGTGTATTACTGATTATTGTTGGCTGGTGGTGAACTGTACAGTTGTGTACCAGAGTAGTTGTATCAGTCTAAACGGACTGATTAGTGTAACACCATGTAGTGCTGTTAACAATAAACTGTACATCATTTCAATAGTGGAGTGTGGTCCAGGGACTTCTTTGGGAGGAACATCTTGTTGGAGCAAGGCCCCTTAAGCCCTGAGTGGTATCCTCATGCTTGCACCCTAAACATTATTTGTTTTTATCCTCACACCACTCCCAATATTTTCGACATGGTTATAAGAGGACGTGGTACTCAACAGCTACAACTGAGCAGAGAACGTGAAGAAGAACTGTCATAAGTGGTGCCCAACACGAGGCTTTGTTAACGAGGAAGAAGAGGGCAGACAGAGTAACATGATCTGCCTAACTGAATAAAATGAGCCAGTTGGCTCAGGTTTAACAATCTGACTTGTATTCTGGATGTACTTGGTTCAAATTTCAGCAGGAATACAGAAATTCCTGACTGCGGTTTTGTGTAACTTTCCTCAGTTTCACCATGTGAATGCTGGGAAATATACCTTCAAATATGACACAGTTGCTTCCTTCCACACCTACTCCAATTCTGTCACTCTACTGTTTTACACTACATTGTCTGAGCTATTGAAAGTGTGATTAAACAAAGCATACATAAAAATATTTGAATAATCTACAGACCCAGTGCACATAATTGACACACCTTCTTTGTCACGAAGATCTTGCTACGTTTTATTTTACGTTCTGACACCGGTATTCGTGGACGGTTGAACTCGTCTGGCTTCTTGACCCTGAAATAGATAACATTCAGTACTACTTAATCTGAATAAAGTGGGAGATTTTGGGTCTTGGGTGCTGCACGTAGATTCTTCACCAACAAACACTGTGGGTGCATGAACCATACTGCAAATGTGAACTATGAAGTTAGGGCTAAGTGAACTCCTTTAACTCAAAGCGAATGAAAGATGGGACACAGTTTCACTTAACTTTAACATGCATTCATTCATTCATTCATTCATTCATTCATTCATTCATTCATCAATGGCTCTACAGCCCTTTGTTGGGCCCTGGCTGCTTTTAGAGTTTTGTAATTCTATACAGTCGGTAGGACTCCTTGGACGAGGGTTTAGTGCATCACAAGGCTGAAACCTATACACAGAAAAGCACAAACACAGAATAAACGCACACATACATGCAGCCACTGTGACTGGCAGCTTTAACATACAACAAAAAATTATTTAAAGACTCATCATATGTTCCCTCCACAGAAATCTTTAGTAAAAGGCAAAAGATTTATATGTACTGATATAATGAACAGAAATTAAGGTCATTCATCCTAACATATCAGTGATGGCACACACTGCGTGTGAGTAAACTGCTGACGACTGTGTCATCACAAGTTGACAGTGTTATAAAAATATAACAGTGTGCACATGTAGAATTGAATGAAACATTCACACCCTGCAACCTCTACTGAGATGACAATGCTTTGAACTCACTTATATATTCGTACAAGCCAGTGTTCTGTTGTGTATGCCTCCTCCAGATATGTCAACTCAAAGTTCTTGTTCCCAATTATCACATTGCGGGTACGGTCAAACCCTGCAGGACTTCGGTAGTCCATCTGCAACAAGAGGCCATAGTGAGATATCTGGCAAAAGTATCCCACCATAAATTACACCTAGCAATGTCCAGCTCACCTTGAATTCTCCAAACTTGTAGTAACACAGTTTGTACATGAGGCTGTTGAACAGTGTTGGTGTTCCCTCAGCATCCACTCTAAATTCTCCCCTATCTGTGAAGTAGTCACTCTCCTATGGCAGAAAAAGGTTCACGTTAATGACCGTCAGACACAAGGTTACATACAGAACGCTTGTTGGTATTCATTTAAACATTATGAATTAGGTGAGTGAGTGACTGACAGCTGTTCAAGGAACACAAAGATTCATCATTGCATTCACAAAATGCCTGCCACTGAATTCAGTCTCCATTCCTATCAAATTCACAAACCCTTCCTACAATACTGTTAAGAACTGTATCCTCTTCCATTTACATTTGCAAGCTACTGTGAGGTCCAGGATCCAATGAAATACTTACAATAAACCCTCACTAATCCAGAGTAAATGGGAGACAGGTCATTTGGATTAAGCGATAATGCAGATTAGTGCTGCAAAAGGTAACCCAAAAAGAAAAAACTTAGAACACAAATAAAAGGAAATATATCACTGTAGAGCATTTATTTAAAACTATAAAAGGACAATTCATTGAAAGAGGACTCAGAAGTTGTTTTTGAATATAACAATGCATGTTTGAAGAAACTGCCAAGTTTTGTTTGAACAGACAAGTACTCAATATCCATCAGAGTACAGCATTGCAAGCAGTGTGTGAACACTCACCCGGATGTCTTTCGGGTGCTCCCCTTCTGCTATCCGCACCATCCACAAGAACTTGTTGATGTCATCTCCAGAGTAACCAATCACTCCACCAAATATCACCAATACATAGTCCACATCCAGGGACACCATTATTTTATAAGCTTCACTCTCGTTGGAGGACATGGCTTTGCCCACCTACAAGAAGAACAACAGTTTAACCTACTGAAACAGGCTTCGCAAATCACCATTAGCAGTGGCACTGCCTACACCACTACTGCTCACCAAAGCGATGTGACTGTTGTTCCATGTGTTGTTGTCCACCAGGGTTGTGCGGTTCGCCATGCCCGCAATCTGGTAGCCATAGTCCCACCAGCTCATCACACGTGCATCATTATCTGTGTTCTGAGACAGCCAGTAGTATGCTTCTCGGAAATCATCCAGGATCTGCCGGGACCTGCAGCATTAGAGTGAAGATAAGGCATATAGCACACATCACAGACATAAGAAATTCATACAAACTGTCAGCCAGAAAAAGCCATGAGAGGAGATGTTATACACAGATGACAGGATAACTGGTTTCAAAATGTACAGAACTGGCTTCAGCAGGATCCATTACTCAAGATAACAAATCAAGTTCAGCAAGCACCTGAACAAGTACAGGGGATGGACAAAAATATGGAAACACCTCGTGAAATGCATGCCTGAATTGAAGTGGTTATTTTAGTGACGTTTGTAGGTCACGCTGTCATAACTGCCCAACACCACTACCTGTACAACCTCTGCAATACGTTGCAAGCTTCATCTGTTGTCGAGACAGTGTTCTTTGCAATTTTTGCGCATTACGTCAGAGCTAACAGAATTTGAACACGGGAAAATTGTTGGGGTCCATATGGTGGGTGCTTCCATAACCAAGGTAGCTGAAGTTTTTGGTGTTTCGCGAGGCACCATATCCAAGATTATGACCACATACAGAAGACTGAAAAAACTGCATCCGATAAAAACCAGCGTGGATGGAAATGTGTGTCGAGTGATCGAGACAGACGAACACTGCGTAGGATTGTGACGAAAAATAAGAAGACTACAGCTGCAAAAGTGACTGCTGAACTGAATGTCACGCACACAAACCCTGTCAGCACCAAAACAGTATGAAGGGAACTCCACAAGCAGGGTATTTCTGGATGAGCTGCAATTCCAAAGCCACTCATCAGTGATCAAAATGCCTCTAAGAGAACAGTGTGGTGCCGAAGTCATAAAACCTCGACTATGGAGCAATGGAAGACGGTCATTTGGTCGGATGAGTCCACCTTCACACTGTTTCCGACTTCTGGCCAAGTTTATGTCTGAAGAACGCCATCCCAAGCTTACAATCCAGATTGTTTGCTGCCAAGAGTGAAACATGGTGGGGGTTCGATTATGGTATGGGCAGCCATATCGTGATATTCTGTCGGACCCATCATTACCATGCAACGTCACGTCACTGCCAACGGCTATGTGACCATTTTGGGCGACCAGGTCCATCCCATGGTGCAAACTTTGTTCCCTAATGGTGATGCCATTTACCAAGCCAAGAATGCCTGTGTTCACATAGCTCACACCGTCCAGGACTGGTTTTCTGAGAATGAAGATGAAGTGTCACGTCTGGCATGGCCCCCACAATCAACAGATATGAATATTATTGAGCCTTTGTGGTCTGTTTTGGAGAGCAATCTGTGTGCGCGCTATTCACCTCTATCATCGAAAACAGAACTTACCATGTTTTCCAGGAAGAATGGTATAAGATTCCCTTGCAAATCATACAGGACCTCTATTTATCCATTCCAAGGAGACTGCAAGCAGTTCTGCAAGCCAGAGGTTGCCCTATGCCATATTAGTCACGGTAATGTGTTTTTTGTTGGGTGTTTCCATATTTTTGTCCATCCCCTGTACAAAATGCTGTCTGTCTGGTAAATTGCTGCTTTCCCTTGCCAGCAATATCATTCTTGGGTTTGGGCTCTGTGGGACCCATGACCATATTTTTCTGTCTCATGACTCTTGACCCTACTTGAAATGCTGTGTTGCACTGTTTACCTTAATTATATCTGTGGAGAGGATGGACCACACATCACGCATAGCTGCTTCAGACGCATGCATTCTTACATTAGCTAACAACACTGTTCTGACTGCAAATGTCACAGAATACAAATGAGCTGATCATCCATGAAGTTAAGGCAAGGGTTTGGAGGAAGCCTTCAAAGCATTATCCCAGCATTCACCCAATAGGACTAAGAAGAACTCCTTCTGTCCTTTGGCAAGATATCTGTTAATCTGGCTGAAATTCAAACCAATTACATGCCATACACAACTGTAGGGAGTGATCTCTTCAACCTGCAGTATACTGCAAGTTGTGTTATCAGCTGAGAAGCTTACACAGACAACTTAATCAACAGAGGTAGTTACACTTTGATAATGTCACACTGATTCTTTCCTGCCCTTTTTAGTTCCATGTCACACCTACTGGCCAAGAATTAATTTATGTGAAAATTAGGAAAAAGAAAGAGAAAACAGATAATCTGGTTTGGGAAAACATAACTGCTGCCACCTGCTATTCCAATATTGGCTACTACAAAGATATCAAAGCATATAAAGAGAAATGATATAACAAGAAATCACAATGTGGTGGTAAATTTATGGATGGTGGAAGGCTCAAAACTGCTAGTATGGTTTGTATGCTGGAGGAAAAAAATTAAGGCATTCCAATCATCTGATTTTTGCCAACATTCACAAATAAAATTAAATGTTTTATATCTCTGTCTCTCAAAAGCAAATGTAAGCCCAACAAGAAGTTCTGGGAAGAACTAACTGCCTACTATCCTTTGATATGACATGGATCACACAGAAGATGATGCATCCAATAAATCTTCTATTGTTGCGCGTGTATTTGTTGACGCAAGAAACTGTTTATCAAACCACTGCCCAGCTATCAGGCTGTTGCCCAGCAAAAATAAAGGGATACATATACAGACATATGGACACAGTGAAAGTAGGCTAACAATGGGGGAACTGCTGGAGGCAGCGTTTCCTGTGTGGTCTGACTGAAAGTTACACAGGGAGGAGGACTCTGATCAGGACTGTGGTTAGCAGTAAGTGGCTTGCAGAAACCCAGGAGCTGGAAGACCTAATTACTAAGCCACAGCCTAGCAATGGCAGTCCCCATGTTGCTTCTCTAATTGTACTGTTCTGGCTTTCAAGCATCATGTAACATGTTACAGAAATATTTATATGGTATTGTAATGGCAGTCTCTTCTTGCTCCACTATCCTGGCTTTGAGGAATTGGGGGGAGGGGGGGTACACAGACACACAAACAGCAAGGGAACCTCTCAAGCATCCTTTAACTTTTTTCAAAATAAGAAAAGTTGGCTAAAAATCGGATGACTTGGATGAAATGAAAGAGTAGAACTTTGTCTGCCTTTATGATTGATATACATTCTGAGGCTCTCTGCAGCAAATTGATCTTTTACCTTCACTGTCAGCAAACAATGTCTGGAGCTGTGACATGATACTAAGTGCCATGTCAAATGGGCTCTCGTCACTAAGGCATGACACATCCTCACACTGTAGGTGGAGGAGACAGCCTCCACATATGGAAGGCAGCTGCAAACAAACAGGATAAGCAAACCCAGACAACCAGTACGGGTGACTTGGGATTTGAACTGGAAACTAATAGCATCTCATAAAAATGGGTGGGGGGACATGTTATGAAATGATACTTGGGACCACAGACTTCGAAGCATTCTTTCGTAAAACATAAGCAAAAGAGAATGAATGTGAGATATGGAACTTGTGATGAAAGGAGTTTAATTAAAACAGTGGCAAAAGAATCAGCAAAGTGCCTTAGAGAAACACACTGTGACAATGCAGACAGGTTCAATAAATGACAGGAATTTTTCAACTAGATTCTTAAGGATACTAAATGCATGAAGCAAAGTATCTTAGTGAAAGTTCTCTCACCCATCATGGCTGTATGAGGCCAGCACAATGCTTGGGCTGGAATAGGCATTGCTGGTGACCCAAGTACAGTGCACTGCAAACATCATCAGCATCATCAGAACTGCAACAATAACAATACTGCGGATGTTCACACCCAGACCATCCGACTCTTTCTGCTGCTCATGCTTCATCTTGCGTAGTTTCCCAGCCTGTAACACAAGTGTTCCAACAAGCAACATGTATCATGTCATGTATCGTCTAGCTTACCAACATCATAACATTTCATTCAATGGTGCACTTAAACAAATAAGTATTATATGATTATGGGATTGCTTCTGATATTACTACTGCATTGCTTTCTTAACCCATTAAAACGAACTACGTAATTAGTGAAACCTGTGGTCTTCCTGGCTGTGACACTGTGTAGTTTCATGGGCAGATGTCAACATTTTGGAGGAATGTGCAGCTTCCGTTTTTAGAGCCAGAGTGTGTACCTTCAAGAATAAGCTTGGTTATGCAGGAGGACTAAAAGAAAGGTGTTCATGGGACCCAAGGAGAGGAGATAAAGAGAGAAACCTGGTCTAAGACAAACGGATAAAAAGTGGCCCTCACACAGGACACACATGTTTATCATCATGGGTGGAATATGGTACAATAAGAAAAAATGAATTATCCAGAAATCCACTGTTGTTTCTGGGGGGGGGAGCAATTCCTGTAAGGGGCCATGGAGGCCCATTGGGTTTGAGATGTTGAAGCTCCCACATTTTCTAGACAACTGGCTCACAGACAGCGGTGAGGCTGGCAACCTTATGTGCCAACTGCTCTTTACCCCCCACCCCCCACCCCAAAGGAAGATTCCTGGTACTCATTTCTGTTAAGAGGCTGGGTTGACCCCAGGGCCATAGTGCAGCTGGAAGGATTAGGTCAACTGAAAAAAACAATGATCTCATCAGGAATTGAAGACATGACCTTCCAAGGAAGTAAAATGACAAGAAAAACTTAAAAAAATGGCCCTTTTCAGGAACACTGCAAGATTTTCTCACAGGAGGGAAACTGAGCCCAGAAAGAGGAAAGTAATTAATGTTTCTCTCCATTTTCATGCCATTCCACTTTCCTCTTGAAAACACCCATTCTTTCTAAGTACTCCATTTCCCACCCATGACAATAAATCAGTAAGCTCCTTATAAGGGCTTGTTTACATCCATTTCTTTCCACTGGTCTGGAGAGGATTCCTTTCTTTTCTCCATCTCCTTGGGTCCCACAACTAATTTTCTTGTAACCTACCTATACGACCAATCCTAGTCCTGAACCTCCTACACCTCTGTGTGTGTGTGTATATATATATGTGATACACCCTTCAATACAACTTCACAGATTATAGGTGGAATCACCACTTAGTCCAAATCTTCATGTAATATCATGATATGGTTTGGCTGCACAGAGCCACCATCAGGTATATGAGGGGGGACCCAAAAATAGCCGGAACCGACCTGTTGCGCGCACATGCTTTGTAGTTACGAGTTATGCTGCTAGGTGGTGTTAGCTGGGGGTCTTCCGCGACTGTTAGTGAGCTGGCGTCAGTCTGAGTTAAGTGGTTTGTCTGTGGTGCTCTGTTGTGTGCGTTCCTGTTTCAACCCTTTGGCGATTAGTGAGATGGCCGACCAGAAGGAACAAAGAGTGTGCGTGAAATTGAGGATCGTTCTGCACTTCACTCTTCAAGTAGCGGCAAACATTCACGCAGTTTTCTCTTTGGTCATCTCCGAGCAAGCGAGGAACAAATTTTGCAGACACCCGTCTCATGTGCAAACCTTCAGTTAAAATTCGCTGGACTGTGCTCCATGAGATGTTCATTTCCTCAGAAAGTTGGTCAATGGTCTTTCGACGATCTTCATCAAGCAAAATTTCACGCACACTCTTTGTTCCTTCTGGTCGGCCATCTCACTAATCGCCAAAGGGTTGAAACAGGAACGCACACAACAGAGCACCACAGACAAACCACTTAACTCAGACTGACGCCAGCTCACTAACAGTCGCGGGAGACCCCCAGTTAACACCACCTAGCAGCACAACTCGTAACTACAAAGCATGTGCGCGCAACAGGTCGGTTCCGGTTATTTTTGGGTCCCCCTTCGTATATGATTATCTGCACATAAGAAATTTGTAAAGGTGCACTGAAGACTGTACTGCAGATCTGTATACAGTAATGCAGCAGGATACTCGAACACAGTGTTTGGAACATACACACTTCAATGCTGGAGACAGAGACAGCATGTCTGCCCAAAGTGTTGGTGCCTGCCCATAAAACCACATGGTATCATGTGAGACCAAAATCTCAGCAATCAGTGTTCAAGGGCTCTCGAGTTCCCGCTGCAGATTTCCATCACTCTGATTTCTCTGTGACCAATATTACACAGTGACAATTTGTCTCTTAATAACAAATATCCATCCGAATGTTTAATTCCAACTTAATACACTGCTATCCGATGTCTCTGTGGCATGGTAAGCCACTCTGTCAAAACACCTGTACCACACCACTGAGATGTTTTCAAGTTTGCACTTGGATTATGCTAGTATTTCATCTTGTCATAAATAACAGTAGAATTTAACAAAATAATGCATTTTGCTTATCAGTTCACACCAGGGAAGATTTAGGAACAAGCTAACACTGCTAGAGTAGACTTGATGTCATTTGAATGTAGCATAAAAGACAGAGAGGGTGTCTGATCCTCAAATGATTGCCGTTCTCTTTTATTAATCCCTGTTTTACATCTATACGCAAGTGCAAACTTATTCACTTTATTATATGTTGGACTGCCAACACATCAGTGACATGTCTTAAACCTGGGAACATAAAACCATTATACCTTGTCGTACATGTTACGGCTGTTTCGCTCCCCGCTGCCTTCCTCCTCACTGTCAGTGTCTGCAGTTTGAGGGTTCTCTTCCTCTTTCAAGTACAGCTCCAGCAAGCGGGAGAACGCAATTCCACTCAGCACACACACGACAGGTGTCAGCGTGAGCATGAGACGCACCATCACCCCCGCAAAGTACACAGCACTGAGTGCATAGAGCACCACTAGACAAACACAATATGAGGTTAGCGCCTTCCTTCATATCACTGTACATGTGGCCACACAACAGTGCGCTACTCACCAAACACACGCTCATCAGTTATGCTCTTGATGCAGTACCAAAGGCCCACTGGGAAAGTTGTGACTAGAATGTGAAGGTCAAAGAAGAAGGAGAACCACGTTGTAGGCTGGTGCTCTGACACAGACGCAATGATGGGAATGTGGATCTTAGCATAGCCCGTGTCCCATAGAGAGTAGAACCTGCAATATAATTCATGTATAAAGCAAGTGTTCACAGTTAGTACCATCCAGGTTCAATGGCAAATGCTGCACTGTACCTGCCACTCCATGGGGCAATAATCCCAGCATATGTGAGGCCCACAACAGTAAGAAAGACCAAAACTGGGGCAACCAGGGCTGCCACCATGAAGAAGTACTTGAACTCGGCCTTCGAGAGTACTGATTGCAGGTACTTCAAAACAGCCATCAGAATCAGAAGTGCAAACACACCTGCAGGACAGAACATGCTGCATGGTTACAATTAGCAGTCTCAGTATGGATGAAATTAAATTAGAATTATTACTACCATATGTGAGAAGATGCGCATGTCTGGGCTTCAAGTCTTTCACAAAAGTCTGTCATGCCAACAGGAAATGCCATGACTCTGTCTGTCCACAATCTGATATAGATGAGTGGCCTTGAACTTTATACAGGATCAGAAGCCTAAGATTCTCAGAATTCAACAACATTTAAAGACAAAATAAACCATATTTCTTATAAAAGCATAGGCTGGGGCTTTAAGAATGGTAAACCAGACTTTTGTAAGAAATTCTGGAATGCATTTCTTGCAATGCACCAGTCAGCAGGATCTGAACAACAAAAATTACAGTGACTTCAGTCAATTAACTAAATAAATATTAAGTAACCATTGTCATGAAGTACAGCACTTCTTGTGAAGTCAATGGTTGCTCAGCTGGTTAAAAAATTCCCCACATTTATATAATCCAAAGGTTCATTTTCATGTTCACAAGAGCTCATACAAAGATCAACTTACTATCAACTCATATCATTTCTGAGACACTGTTAGTCACTGCATCTCTGAGCTATTCTGAAGCTGGCTCTTAGATTGTGCTACTACTTTGCCTCTCACCAGTAGATGGCAGCCTTATTCTCTTCTATTGTCTTTCTTCAACCATAAAATGCATCTTACTATTAATCAACACCAAATACAATCTAAAATTAAGATACTGTCAGGTGTATGGTGGTACGCGTGACGAGAATGATGGGTTCTAGTTTGGATGATAGGATTTATTAGCACTTTGGTTACAATCTCTCTTAATCACACTTAAATACAGACAGTACAGCACTTCTGCTCATTTACACACTTTAAAATTCACTGCTATACACACACACACACACACACTAGTCCTCTCTTGGTAATGCAATTAAAACACAGGAACTAGCACTTCAAATCACTCCAATATTACACATATATAAAGTCTTCAAATCACACTTTACATCCTCATATACTGTATTCTTCTGTACTCCTGGTTCCACTTCCTTCCGTTTGTGTGATTCTGCCACTACTATTTCTCTCTGCCAACTTAGGAATTCTGCTCACTTACAGAGCCAAGGGCCTGACATCAACCAACAGTAAACATACATCATATGGACCCTATCCACTGTTGCCGTGTGCCATCACCGCACATGTGCAAGCTGAGAGACACACGGGACACACTGTCACGTCATGTGATAGCCACTTACTGTTGATGTGTTTGATGTCACCGCTCCTGCGTCAGCTGCTGGACACATGGAAAACACATCTTGGTATACTGCTGTGTGCACGTATCATGTTTATAGAGCTGTTGGCTGGCAAAGCGTTGATCAAATATGCCATAATATTTTTTGTAACCATACTGCAATGGCAGCTAAACTGGCAACAACTAAGGCATCAGTTACACAGAAACTAATGTCCTGAAAGGGTTTGTTCTATGCTCACTGGAAAGTGAAGGGGTGTCAGAGAGATGTGAGCAAACAGTATGCTGACATGCAGTAGTGTTACCTTATCTATCACCTGTTCGAACCTCTCTGCATGCTCACTGTTGTAAATACTGCAACTGTTAATAACACTTCTCTGTACTTTCTGGAGGACACAACACAGTAATATTAACACTTCACGGACTGGCGATTTAAATATTTAAATCACCCTAGGGACCAGCATTTTTAAACCTACTACCCTAACTTGTGCACTGTTCACTTTAAAAATTAATATAAAATCTCCTAATTAATTTTATGAACTAAAATTTTTGGAGAACACTTATCAATGCTCCTAGAAGAGCTTGAGAGTGTGATATTTCTGGAAACATTCCCTTTTGTGAAGCGGCATTACACAGAACTTGCACATGTAGACAGTCATACTCCTTTTGTTGTGTACTGCACAAACACAGCATCGCCTAGAAGGCTGCGTCCCCTTGGCATGTTCACTCTTCATATTTTTCACGAGAGTATGTTTCCGCATATCACCCGAGAGTCGCCCAGTCCTGACATAGCATGTCAAACAAACTATCTCCAAAACAGTTTTGTTACTTCAGACACTTGCTTTGGGACGGATGAAATTTCCTTCACCCCTGGACTTTCCGGTAAACTGTCCCAAGGCAGGCGTTTTGTCTACTTTACCCCATGTGGCTGTCCCTGCAGTGTTACTACTCGCACTTTTGTCGGAGCTGCTGTCACTTTCACTGTCTGTGGCCACAATTTTTTGTTCACCCTTGCCACACTCACTATCAGATTGTGAGTCACTATCACTAGCAGACTCACAAGGGACGTCAGATAGCTCATCAAAGAACAAGTCAGATATTTCTTGTTCTCCGAGAAAACGCTTGGACCTCAACCTCTTCCAACCTTGATCCATTTTGCACTAGTAACTTCCTGCCTGGTGCATGCAGCTGGAAGATGAACAAAGGCATTTTCTTTTGGAGTGGGAAAGGAAAACAGTTGGGTCATAAATAGCGGGGTCATCTTACTGACTACGAAGCAAACATTCAAGAGGTCTATCACGCACCAGTCATGTGTCTGCCTAGCGCCAGTGCAAGGTATAGTGTGTTTCAACATAACGTGTCCTAAAATCATAATAATATGCCACCAGTGCGCAAAGTGTTAAGACAGTGATAAAACAATAATTATTACAGTTTAATCTTCAGCATATGGCATGTAAATCTGCATGACCAGAGAATTATTTCAAGCTATTTAACGCCACATAAAAACTCAACTGTTAACAAGGATTCCATTACTTGTGCTTAAAACTGTTAAACAACTTCTTCTATATACGCAGTTTTGTTAATGTTCCTTGGATGTGAGAGTTGGACTGAATTCATCTGGGTCAGGACAGCACCCAAGAGTGGGCTCTAGCAAACATGGCAATGAACATTTAGGCTCCATAAGGCATAAAACTTTACATACTGAGTGACTATTGGCATCTCAAGGAGTTGGAGTTGTTACGTATGATAAGACAAAATATTTTCTTCATTAAAATTCTTGGCTTTTAGCCTCAAAGTGAAAGACAAGAACAGACTTACAAAAATGACTGACCATACAGAAAACATTCCATGCAGACTGTGAGTTACAATATGCATGCAGCATGTGCCTGAACATAATGCAAATTGTGCAGGAGCTTCCAGCTCACTGGCCACACATCTTCTGCAAAGTCAAGATGTTCCCACAACAATTAACCTGTAAACATGCATCATCTGATTTGAATACATTACCAGAAGCTGCCATGTGCTCGCTAGTACGAATGGGCTGGAAACCAACAAATGGGATCTGCATACTGAGCAGGAGTCCTAGTATGTAGAATGTGGTGTAACTGGTAAAGAGGCGGTTCGAGTAGCGACCCATCACCAGCAATATGAAGACATGTAGTGGGATTAAGTTGATGATGAATACGTAGCCTCCCCATGCTGATACCTGCTGGCACACTGCCTTGCTTATAGTTAAGCATTTCATATGAGATCTTAAGTTCTCATAGCAATGAATGTTGAGATTATAGTCTTATGGGACATGACGCCATGCAGTTTGGTCGATATGTACTAATGTTTCTGAGAAACCTGCTGCCTCTATCTTCAGGGTAGAAGATGAAGGCAGCAGGTTCCTACAAAACACTGGTAAGGTGTCACAATCCAGAAAACTGTATTAACATAGTGACAGGACCTGGTGCTCAAGTAAGGTCTCATGCTTGAGGCAGGTTGGATCACTGTCCTGTTGTGTAAACTGACAAAAGAGGGTAAAGGTGTAGAGTTACAGGTCACTTGTGTATGTGTGAAACTGATTACAGTGAAACACCCATTTGAGATTATTTCAGAAAATGTTAACAATAACTGAGGAAAATCTTCAATGAATGTAATTTTGCACTGAGATTATTGCCTTGGGATCACTGAAACTGGATGTTAAATGAGGAAAAATCTCAAGAGGAGGAACATGAAATGGGAGTTCCACTGTAAAAGAATTTCAGTGACAAATGAAAGTCCCTGTACCCATTCACATAAAGAATTCCTCTCCATTAATTTTTGAAGTTATTTTCATCATATCACAACCTTTCTCAGGGCAAAGGCATGAGGAAGAAGAAACACACTGCAGCAGCACAGTCACAGTGGGTCCTGTCCTCACAATACATAGAAATGACACATTCTGCAAGCCCATGCTTATGTTACTTTCTAACACAATGAAGTTCAAAACAGTGCTTAAAATATTACAAAACAAACATCAGAAAGACTAATTTAACTGAGAAAAAACAAACTTTCTTTTCAAAAAGCACATCTGCATTGGAGAAACTGTGAAGCTAAAGCTACTCCTGTACCCGGCAGTGGAGGCCCACAGGGTTGCGAAACATCATGGTTCCCACATTTTCTAGACATCTGGCTCACAGATGGCAGGGAGGCTGTCAGCCTTATGCCAGCAGCCCTTTACCCCTAGGAAGATTCCTGGTACTCATTTCTGTTAGAGGCTGAGTCAACCCAGGGCTATAGTGAGGATGGAAGGATTTGGTCAACTGAAAAATCCAATGACCTCATTTGGAATTGAACCCACAACCTACTGGCTTGTAGCATAGTGATTGGAGAAACTGTACATCACTAAATTCCACATTATGTGCTGAAGAGAGACTTACCATGTAGAAGTAGGAGAGTGCTGTCATGCAGGACCAGAAAATGGACCCCATCTTAACTGCTTTCACCTGCACAGGAAATTCTCTGAGTCATGCTGCACATCTGATACACTGTAAGTTGCCAGGATAGGTCCTTTTGACTACAATCAAGTAAGCCAGCCAACTTGTCATATCAGCTCAGTATCCAATATTTATGACACTCAAATCTACTTACTTATGTTCAGTTTATTAATGTATGCTGTAAGTAGCTCATGTTATACAGGGTCAAGGGGTAGGTTGACTAGTGAATAATTATATGGAAAGGAAGGGGAAGGAAGTGGTCATTGCCTAATCTGAGACAGCAGCTTGGTATTTGCCTACAGGGAATGAGGACAACCATAAAAGCTGATACATGTGCAGATGATGCGACTGCACTGGTGCTTCAGGCATAAGAAACAGAACAGCCTCATCTGTTCTGAAGCATTAATGTCACCACACATAAAAATGCATCAGCTACCATTACAAAGAGCTGATTCATGTAGTGATAATGCAATGGGTTTACATTAAGGGGATACTCACTTCAGATCTTGGTTGGGTTACCAATTTATTCCATTATTTATCACATTACTCAGTCTCTCCAGACAGTACCTTCTTTCCTAATCCTCATTTACTCACCGCACAGGAGTGTCTTGTCACTACACTTAGCAGTACAGAACTGCAGTTGGAACAATGTCATTACCTAACCTATGACTCAGCAATTAAAATGTATCATGTACTTAACCATGTCATTATTTCCAGAGCTCATAAAGAACAACAGCTGACAAAGGTATATCACTGCACAGATGTAATCATACTTGACTGCTCTTACATCTCAGAGCTCACACAGCTGCCATGCTGATGCTGCGGATGACAGTATCAAGATGAGGTGGCCTGCAATGGCCTGCAATGGCAGACTGTTCATACCAAGTTTCAAACAAACAGGGCAACAAGTATTTACAAAACAATGAGGGTGGGATGAACAAATGCAGACATCCAAACAAGAACAGCAACAAATTGCTGTAGTGGGGACTGCAGTCCCTCCAGGCAAATGGGGGATTCTATTTTAAATCTGTTACTCACCCAAAGATAGTATGTGAACTGCAGAGCAAAGATAGCAATGCCCTCATTGTCATAGCTGCCTGCCACTGAGCGACTGATATACCCTGGCACAATGGCAATGAAACAAGCAGCAAACAGACCTGCTCCTGGTGACCAAAGTTCCTTTGTCAGCAAGTATGTTGAGATGGCAGTCAACCCACTGTAACATAGTCACAGACAAAGCACTAACACAAGTAGATTGCAACTTCCTGGCAGAATGCATCCAGGACCAGCCTACATCACCAGTCACTAATTTTACTCCTGTACTACAGTTACAAAGGAAACACCATAATTTTGTATTGACTCTAACTCTGTGGTGGTGAGCTGCACTGTGTTACTGCTGGCTCATACAGCTTGCTTATCATGCCCAGCCATAGCCTAAATCCTATGTGCTATGACTTCCCTGATGTTATGTTCCTTTCTCCTGCTCCATACCACACCATTTTCATGTGATTTCTTTCAACCAGTCCTGTCCACTTCTTCAGTTCGAGATGGAAAGCTATGTGGCTATAACCTCCCACAGTTCTACCTATTTTGAGGCTCCAATGATAGCAGTAGCAAAATCTATTTTGGACTTGCTTATACTGCCACACAGTACAACGCAGTCTGAGTGGTGCCAGCTGGAGTGACAGAATGCAGTTGCATGTATACAGGTAAAGGAATGTGTCAGTCATCATAGCTGTTTGTGTCTCCTGGTTGTGCTGTTTATGAACAACTAAAGGACCTGTTCAACTGTATTTGTGAGTAGAGACTGCACTGTTCATATTACGTTCCTTGACCGCTAAGAAGTTGACTTATTGTAATGTGACATTGTATGTGTATATGTTGCACATTCTGCTAAGACCATGATCAGGCTACCAACGTGGCTACCCTAGCATCGCTTCATTCTCTGTCCAAAATTGCTAATTGGAATTTCTGCCTTCAACTTCTAATTACCAACCCACAATCATGCTCTGTATTCTGTTAACTATATATTTCTGGCATACTCTTTAGTAGTGTCTAGCACTCATTAAATTGGTGGCTTCATTCATGTATATTCAGAAACATAGTCCATCCACAGAACATTGAAAACTATGACAGAATCAGAGACATTAACTCTTTGACTGGCGCGAAGGATATTTAAATCCCACCCCTGTCCTGGCAGGCCCTTTAAACCTTATGTCGCTAAAATTCATGTAGTTACTTTTTCCTAAACAACTTCATCAAATTTGGGTTTTAAAAACGGAATTTTCAGTAACTAATTAAAATACAATATTTTATGCAATAAATGCCTTTCCATACCTCTTTATTAGTTTTTCTTCGTGTGATAAACATTGAAACATGAAAGTTTGCAGAGAGCCACACCACAGCCTGCACACATGATACTTGTTTCTTTTCTAACCTTGTGCTTAGCACTCACGCGACACTTTCTCAGGGCACCATTCTTCTTGTTGTTACTG